ATTTGTATTATTAGCATTTGCAGAGTAATATCCCACTTATGCTCCTGAACATATGATTTTACTTGAAGGAGGATATTCTCATTCCAAAGAAAGCTCCAAATTTTAGTATGATATCCTCAGCAGGAATAAGAAATTTGGTGAGTTGTTATATAATTATATGCCTAAGAACGAATACATCTGACATGATATACTTTTTTTCCTGCTACATCAGTAACAATATTACTTGCTTCTATTTTTGAATAGTTGTTTTTTACAAGTGGAAGGTAAAGACAAATGCTATTTAAACACATCCAAATCTCACTATTTGTATTTTCTTTTTTGATATCTAACTCCAGATTTTGAAATCAGTCAGATTCTATTATGTCAATTGTAATTCTCAATTTCATCATTTAACTGCTCACTAGTACTATTATCTATTTCTACATTAATATCCTCAGTAGATTTTTTAGTACTCCAAAAAGTATCTAACGTAAGAGTTCTCTTTGTTGCTTCACTCTGTTGCTAATTTTTTCTTTTTTTAGTATAATTTGAATTACTAATATAACACAATCTACGTCCTTTATGATAGGTATGTTTTTGATAATATTTTTTTGCTGCTTCTTGCAACCTTTTTACAATATTTACAGCCTCATCATTCTCTACTAGCTTATTATAAATAGAAAAATTATCAGCATTATCACTAACATTAGAAAGGTCATCATTATTAGAGTCATCATAAACAGATATATTATCAACATCGATTTGCACATTATCAATGTTACTTTTGATATTTCAGTTTATAATCTTTGCTTCATAAGTTTTTCTTAAATACTTTTTATGTTTTGTTAGACGAGGTATATTAACAAATCAGAAGTATTAATTAATGCTTTGAATGGTTCAGTTCAGTCTAGATTATAGGCTAATCTGAAACTGAACTGAACTGTAAACTGGTAAAAATCTGAATCAAACTGAAAATTTCAGATTAATCTGAAATTTTAGATCATTTAGAATGATAATTTAATCATTCCAAATGAACGATTCTTTTATCGTTCATTTGGAACGATAATTTCATCATTTTAAATGAATGATTCTTTTATTGTTCTTTTAGAACAATAATTTCATCATTCCAATCGAACGATTTTCTTATCATTTGTTTAGAACGATAATTTCAATTGTTTCAAATGAACGATTTTTTTATCATTCGATTAGAATGATAACTTCAATCGTTCCAAATGAACGATTCTTTTATCATTTTTTTGAAACGATAATTTAATCGTTCTAATCGAATGATTCTTTTATTGTTTGTTTGAAATGATAATTTAATCTTTTCAATCGAACGATTCTTTATCGTTCGTTTGAAATAATAACTTTAATCATTCTAAATGAATGATAACTTCAATCGTTCCAAAAAAACAATAAATTTAATCATTCCAAATGATCTAAAATTTCAGATTAATCCGAAATTTCAGTTCAGTTCAGATTTTTTTTGATTCAGATTAGATTTATAATCTGAAAAAAATTCGAACTGAACTGAAAATTTTTGGATTGAAATTTTTGCAATCTGAAACTAAACTGAAGTTGATCTGAACTGAAAATTTTCGAATTAATCTAAACCGTTCAGAGCTTTAGTATTAATGAAATTCAATTAGTGAGAGTATCATACATATATTGTCATTTAATAAAAAGTTTTTTATTTTTATAAAAAAAAAGATTCTTCTTATAAAAAAATAAAACAAAAAATTTATTATTGTGATAAAAAAATAATTAATCTAGACTATTTTTTTAATAATAGTAATTGACTATTGATAATGGTAATTGACTATATAATTGTGATTGACTATTGTACCTGATATTCCTATCACGTGCATGTATACAGACCAATAAAATTACAATATTTTTTATCATATAACAAAAGATCAACATTTCAAATTTGATCGCTTAAAAAATTTTTTATCGGGACTAAGTTATTTGCACTATAGAAACTTAAAATATTAATAAAATTTAATCTACTGATTAGATTTTAATCAAATAAAAAAAATTAATTTATATTATTTTTCAATTTTGTAAATTATATAAGCATTATATAATTTATATTAGGCTAATTAGAAACTAAAATTAAAATCATATAAATAATTTATTTTATTTTATTTTATTATTTTATTATAAATTGCATCAGTTATATGATGATAAAATTCATATTTTTTAACTGCAAATTATACTATTTTTTTAATAATACCTTTTTATAAATATTATATAATGTCATGATTTTTATGTATATTTTGAATTGTAATTAAAGGAACTGAATCTAATGCTTTAGAAATAATTTATTATAATCTAACCTATATGTAATTGCAATATTTTTGTGTATTTCTTTTGCTATACCCTAATATATCTTTATATAATTCAATTTATAATAATATTTAAATAAAAATAT